AGACAGCAAGAAAAGTTCTTTCTTACCTCATCCTACACTATACTCCAACTACCTTTTGGCCTAAATGTAGTGATTTTCTGAATGTATATATATGATGCCAAGAGAAGAATTTACTCCTAAATACATGAGGCAGAAAAAATTATTTCTTTTGAGAGTTTTGCAGGATTCACTATTACTTATCCCTATGCTGGAAGAGACACAATTGTGAAGATATTAATCACAGTTAACTCAACAGAGAAAAAGTCAATAACATGTTAACTCTTGATTTATAGACAAGCTTTAGGAATTTTACCTGTGTAATTTTGCACAGTCAGTAACTTATTTCTTGTAATTATATCTTATTTGTTCCAGCTCTCAGTAGGCCCGATTTTCCTCTTACTAACAGCAAGTTTATTATTGTAACTCTCATCAATCAAATAGTGATGGTGCCTGAATAACTTGCCAGTCCATCCAGAGATAAACAGTGTTTACTAAGCATTTTAAACAGAATGGGTGGGCAAAGGAAGATATTTTTATTAGTGAAAGTTTTACTTTGAAAGAAAAAAAGGGGGGGGGGGGCAAGACCATGGAAAAAGGAAAAAATATGCTCAGAATGCAGTAAGGAAAATCATGATTACTGATCATCTTTGTCATTTTATTATATACTTCAAACTGGAAAAGAAATTGCATAACAAGATAAAATATTTAGTTACACTCAAAATGTTATGATAGGCAAAAAAGCTTTATGAATGTAGCCAAAGATTTATTACTAGCTATTACTAGGTCTTTGCTGCCTACAGCAGCAAGGCTGCATTCATCAAGCTGAAGCCCAGCCAGGACAGGCACTAGTCACTTGGCTACTCTTAAACAAATAACCAGCTCAGAGAAGTCCTGAGATTCTGCTCTGTCAGATCAGCAATACGTCTGTTCCCATTATCAGTAATGTAAAATATTATATATACTGGGCTAGACTACACATAATAATCCTCCCTGATTCTTCTAACATACCTCTGAAAAAACTATATTGAATAAAGTCTCTGAAAAAAATATATTGAATAAAGTGTAATGTTCATATTATGGATATATTTAACAATGCTATTCAACATTATGGAGGTGAGGAGAGGTTTGAAAGTAACTAAAGGCATGAAAGAAGTAGCAGGATAATTAGGATCAAAAATCATTAAAAAATTTTTAAAAAGCTTTTTTTTTTTTTACAAAGCAGAAAGTGATCTTCAGAAGGCTTACCTAGGAACTGTGGATATCAACTATCTCCTTTTTTTTTTTTTTTTTTGTAGTAATAAAGGAATAAAGGAATGAACGAAGGCAGAACAGATACCAGAAATGTCTGATTCTTAGTCTGAAAAACAATTTTGAACTCCAAATAATCACTGAGAAACCTTCAGATATATTCTGACGATGAAGTCCAGGAGTGACTTATAGGTCCTATAAAGATGAGTAAGCCTGAATAAGAAACTGAGATTTCATAAGAAATTGAACATAGCTGTACCTTCAGCAGGCAGAACATATGCTTAAATAAAATAAGGAGCCATTAAGTGTCTCATGGAAGATGGAAGAATCATCTTAAGTAAGAGTTCTTACTGTGAACTGCTAAATATGAAAAATGTGTCCAAAAAAAACCAGGACAGCTGACGAGAGTAAGGATGTCAGCAGTCCAAAGAAAACTGTCAAGAAAAGACTACTTGATCGCAACTTTAAATTCTTGTGATTTTAAAGGCAAAACAATGCTCACTTATGACTTTCATGAACTGTGAATTATTTATCCAAACATTTTTCCACTAAATAGAGTTCTCATAGTCTTGGAATTTACAGAACAGTTACATTTATTTTTGCATCCACACTACCTATTTCATCATGCTAGGAGCATTCTGGTTAAATACATATGTTAATACACTATAGAGAATGAAAAAAGTAGAATCAATTGCTATCAGCAATATACCATAAGCCTGTTTCTAGCTTTTCAGATTAATAGTAGCTCTAACTCTTCATATCATAATCAATTGATTCTGCACACTGACCATTTCATTTTCCTGCCTCTAAACTTTACAGTTGTCTCCAATGAGACAACTCACACTCACATTTCCCAATGATCTGAAAACTCCTCATCTTACTGAATCTATAGATTATAATAAACACAGATCCATGTGTACAATATGGGACAAGAAGTGCAGTTCATTTAGTTTTACGTTTCAGATATTATTCTCTTTTTATTCTAAAATGCCATCAAAATATTTGTCTCAACAATTATAATCATAGAATCATTAAGGTTGGAAGGAGCCTCTAGAGGTCACCTAGTCCAGCCCCCCTGCACACACAGGATCACCTAGAGCACGGGGCACAGGGCTGCGTCCAAGCGAGTTGTGAAGATCTCCAGAGAAGGAGACTCCACCACGTCTCTGGGCAGCCTGTGCCAGGGCTCTGTCACCCTCACTGTCAAAAAGTGTTTCCTTAAGTTCTTGTGGAACTTTTGGTGCCTCAGCTTGTGGCCATTTCCTCTAGTCCTGTTGTTGGCCACCACTGAAAAGAGGCCAGCACCCTCTTCCTCACTGCCTCCCTTGAAGTATTTATACACACTGGTCAGGTCCCCCCTCAGCCTTCTCTTCTCCAGGCTGAAGAGGCCCAGCTCCCTCAGCCTTTCCTCATAGGGCAGATGTTCCAGGCCCCTGATCATCCTCACAACCCTGCGCTGGACTCTCTCCAGCAGCTCCACATCCCTCTTGTACTGGGAAGCCCAGAACTGGACACGGTATTCCAGATGTGGCCTCACCAGGACTGTGTATAGGGGGACGATCACCTCCCTCGACCTGCTGGAGACGCTCTTCTTAATGCACCCCAGGATCCCGTTGGCCTTCTTGGCCACCAGGGCACACTGCTGCCTCATGGTCATCTTGTCATCCGCCTTGACACTCAGGTCCCTCTCTGCGGGGCAGCTCTCCGGAAAGTTGGTCCCCAACCTGTACTGGTGTCCGGGGTGATTCCTCCCCAAGTGCAGGACCCTGCACTTGCCCTTGTTGAACTCCATGAGGTTTCTCACCGCCCAGTTGTCCAGTCTGTCCAGGTCTGTCTGGATGATAGCACAGCCCTCAGGGCTATCAGCTTCTCCTCCCAGTTTGGTATCTAAGTATGAAGTCCCTAAGAAAGACTTGTCCTCAGACCATATATTCATTTGAACTGGGTATGAAAACTGGGTTTCAGGGGATAGCTATGCAAATATAAAAGGTCCCTATGAACAAAATGCAAAAGAAAGGACTGAATCTTCAAGGTCTTTAAGCCATTGCATTTAGATATCAGGCTACATAGGGAGCAGATCCAACATGATGGCTATTAAAATGAATGTCTGGCATGTGATTCTTAAGCTTAAGTGAACTGACCATATATAAACAAAAAAGATTAATTTTGAAGAAACATTATGAATAATCTGATTTTATGTTGCAACAATAAAAACAGTTGAGGATTTTTTTTACTGTTGGAGGAGTCTGCACAAATTAGAACTAGCAACACAATCCTCACGTGTGTTTATTACCTAAACTTTTTAAATTGATGTTTTTAAAGGAATTTAAATTTTAAACAGAATTTAATATGTGTCTTTATAGCAATATATTCCCTGGCTGAAATCAGGGGCTATGGGTGAAGTTTAAAACTTCCCATGTTTTTTCCAATCACCACTGAAATCCTCAGTGTTTCAAAAAGGTAGAAGGAACCTGTGAAGTTCCAGGGTAGCCATTTTAAATATTTAAACTTGTCCTCTGTTTAAACTTGAATTTGGAGTAGGCAGAGCAGGGAGAGCTAGGAGCTAGAAAAGCATGAGGCTGATCATCACATGTGTCCACTCATAGTGATGCACTAGCAGCCTAACAAAATGTTCTTGTTTAGGATGCAATAGTGTAACTTGAAAAATGCTTAACTCTGTAAGACTATATTAAATGACAAAGGCAATCAAACGCAAGCTTGGATCTTACAATTTTCCAAGCAAAGACAAATCAATACTGTAACAGAAGAAGGTAATGTATTTGTCTTAAAAACATTTTCATTGTTTACTTTTTTCTTTGACATTTCCTCAAGAAAGCCCACGTTTAAACTACAGACAAGATAGAAAATATATTTTTGCATACTAAATCAAATAAAAACATAAGTAAGAACAGGATTTTTTTTCATTTATTTTAAGCTCTACTGGTATACGAATCCTATTAATTATATGGCTGAAATACTTCATACTCGATAAGATCCTTGGAAAAAATAGTAACCACAGACGACTTCAGGCAAAAAAGCTGTCTATTTTTTGGCACGAACTGGTTTGATGTATCAGCTACTTCTAGTAACTACAGTATTTTGTGGAACTAGACCTCTATGCAAGCAACTTTTGCTTTTCTTTATTCATAAAGGTACTCAGTAGACCATAATTTCACTGAGCAAACACATCACTGCCATGACTAAGGTAACACCATGTTGCTCACAGCTCATCCAGAAATGTCCATATGTAGATTGAAAGTACAACTTAGTGAAAGGTAAGCATCAGACGAATTCAAAAGGCTTAAAACTTGAAAGAAACACACACGTTCCCTTCCAGAAACAAACCTACCCCCACATGATTCTTTTAGCCAGGATTAGCTAGAACCAAAACCTCTTTAGATAGATATTGAAAGCTTTTCTACTTCTCTAAAATGACCCACCAGCTTACTTAGAAAACAAGGGTATTTTTCTTAATGGCACTTGTGGTTAAAACAACTCACACTTTTCAATGAGAGTTTCTTAATTATTAAGCTACTTTCAACTAGGGTACATATTGCCCTCTCCTGTCAAAACTGAACAACTATTTTGATATTCTTCTATCAAAGCATACAACAAATGCTTAGAATAATGCAACAAAGCTTAGAATAAATAAACATACTAATACAATTCAAATTTCCAATTCTGTCTAGCAGTTCTTCCAATTTTGAAGTCCATCATGCTTTTAGAAAACACGAACAAAAGCAAAAACCTTAAAAAAAATAAAAGGCGCTTACCTGATGAGATGTCTATTCGGTTCTTCTTGACTTGGGTGACATTGATATGGACGCTGACTTTGCCCTCATTTATGTCAATCTCAACATTCCCCAGGCCATCTGCGAAGTTGCTGAAGACAAGAAGCCCATTTGGGTTCCAGGTTCGGAACAGGAAACTGACTGCGAACAGGTCTTGGCTTGGACGACCAGGAACCTCAAGGAAACTGGTGGCGTTGAAAAAGACGGGCACTGTATGTGGCTCCACACAAGAAAAACTTAAATTTCCCTAAATAAAACAAACAAACAAAAAAGCAAAAACATAAAGAAAATGATAGGACTCCTCTAAATTCATACCTACATCCAGAAAGCATTCTAGGTTTTATTCCATTTACGGACTATTGAAATTAATGCAAGTTGCCCCTAAAAATGTGTTATTAACAACACCATTATTATTATTATTAGATTGTTATTATTGTTGTTGCCTTGCGCTAAAGCCTTGGCCTCATTCTATTAGGCACTGTGCACACTCATAGTAAGGGGCAGCCTTTGCCCTGAAGAGTTAAGAGTGTAACCACAAGAAAAAGCTTAAGAGGAAAGCATTTTCACTTTGGTTCTCATAACATTTCTCCTGAGACACCCCAATGGCAGGATGCATAACCAGACATCTTTCTCCTTAGAAATATTAAAAAGTGTGTAGCTCTTATTATGCTATTTTACAACCTATTCTACTCCTCTGAGCTAATTTCTGTCCAGCATTGACTTACTTCAATTCATCATTACAATACCACTGGAAAACTGCCTCAACTCAAGATCCCCTGTATGATGCTGGCAAGGGGACCTTTACCTTGTTGTAAAGGTTACCTTATCTGATGACCTCTATTGAAGAAGATGGTAACTTTGTGACCATTTCTTTCTAATTTAGCAAAGCATAATTTTATCTGATGAACTATGTAATTTTTTATCATTAGTATCATAATAGAAAATACTGAATTATGAGCATCTTCAGAGGTACTTAGAAACAAGCTTTATTTCGGCACTGTTCAAATTCCCAGCAAGAACCAATCATCATCATCTTTGGTATATAAGTGCAGGTTAACTCAACCTTACAGAAGTTTTCATGCATATATTTTTGTATTTATAGAATGTATTTGGAAAATTTATTTTGAGAAAAGTCAGAGAATTTGGAAGCAAGACAAGAACTGTTTCTGAAATCATACTGGAGAAAAGCCCCAAGTTAATTTTTTTTTAGAAATAATAATTTTCAATTGGAGATGAGCCAGGTGGCGTCATCAGCATTTAGTATTTACCAGTCATTTAAACTATCTCCTTAATCATTACAGGCCATATCACAATGCAAATAAGAAAATACAGAATACAGTTTCTCTAGCTCTCTGTTTTTCAGATACATTCTTAGATACATTCTACATAAGCACCTCTGCTACATGCAAAGTGCTGCAAGTTTTACTGCCAGACATTCTGCCTTTAGAGGCCAGTAAAACGAGCAGCAACTCAGCTATCAGAGAGCCAGCCTCTGTCATCAGTCAAGAAACAAGGATGTTTCCAGCAATCTGGAACTAAAGAAGAAATTTCTTTATGCTCATAAATGATCTCATAAAAGATTTGTTCTCATCTTTATTAAAATCTCGACATGGTAAGACATGCTCTTTTTATATACACACACACACAACATTCCCTGTGTTTCACAAAATATATTCAAGAATTTAGGAACATCTTTCTTTAGAACAACTATAGGAAACTTTTATATTACAGTGTGAATGACAACTACTTTTTGACTAAAGAAAAAGGACCTTCACATAGCTCCTTTGCTACTAGGAGGTAGGAGGGTGTCTCCCCCTCACCACCACCCTCCCAGTCTAGATGCTGACTGGAGTTATTCATTTTAAGATTTTAGCCAACTAATATTATTAAATTATTAATAAGCCAACTAATAACTAGTCAATATATTTGTTTGAATAGCTTTAACCTGAGGTTTTCTAGATTTGCTGCCAAATACTTTTGGTAACCCACAAATCTTACATTAAGAATAAAAGTCCAGTGAGTGCCTGAAATACCCTTTGTACACCTTTGTTCACATTCTCAGTGTAAGAGTCACCCTATGGATTAGAAGCAGCTTCTGGAAGAGGGCAACAGGATTTCCTAATACCTGACATCTTAACAATTCTGTCACAGATGCTAGGAATGTATTGACAGCAGTAGAATAAACAGTTTTCCTTGCAATTTCCTATGCAACAAGTTCAGTAGCACACCATGGCAGACATCTCTAAATGCTGTTCTTGCCCCACCTTCCTTGTTGTTCTGCAAGGAACTAGTGATTTCCTCATTCCAAGAAGACTTTCACATCTAACTGACACTCTCCCATCTCCCTGATGCATGGGATACTTGCATGTGTAACACTTACTAATGTTAATGCCACTGAATGCATGCAAATCTCCTTTCACATCCCTAGGATCATTTATCATGAACACTCAAAACAGCACAGAAGATTTCTTGAGGAATGTAATAATCCTGGTTTCTCTGCTAGCTACCCAAATGGTATTTTCCCTGCTGAGCGATTCAGTTTAATCTGAATCGGATTACCATTTCCCTCTATGACCACACTTCAGAAGAAGACTCCTCTTTCAAGTAAAACCCATTGGATACAGATTACTCACCAGGGCCAGGCCAAGAGTTAGAACTAATCTGTAGCTTGCCTCTATAAAAGCATTCCTATTTTCAAAGAGAAGGGGATGATCTTCTGCGGAGGGGGCTCAGAATGAATTGCTGAACAATTCACTGGGCAATGACATTTCAAAGTCAAACATACTGTGCATTTATATTGGAACTGTTGGTCTTATTAAAGAATTATTAATGATACACGAGAAGGGAAATGATTAAAATAATTTGGGCAGCTTGAGCTTTACATCATGATTTTCACTCTTGTAAATTAGTTTCATGTTTACCTTGTATAAATCAGTTGTGCCTATCTACCATCAGATGTTATCCCTTGTGGAAATACAACTAGGTTTTAAAATCTTTCCGAACTAACAGAACCACTAATGGAATTCACAGCTCCCAAAACAGAGGTAATGATTTTATTGAAACTACAAATACCTGTTAACTCAAGATGGATTGTACAGTAAAGGCAATATTCCCTGGCTAATATTTATCATGTTATTTCACCATCTTTCTCAAAATAGCTTATTACTCATCTTCAAGCTTAAAATATTGCTTGCCTAATATAAATAATTTAAAGAAAACACACTTAAGTTTGTGATGCTTGCACAGAATAATACATGATTGCACTTCTGCAGTTGCAGAAGTGAGTGGAACATAGTGGATTTAAGGAAGGAGGGAAGCAAATAGTAGCCTTCTGCACATTTTTATGCTACTGGCATTAAAAAAAAAATGAGTCTATTCTTTGGAAACTACCCCCAATTAGCACTCAAGCTTTCTCTAAATATACCTCCAGAAAGGAAATGCTGATGAAGAAACTAAATTTCTAAACTGGAATTTTTCTGGACATGCTGGCTGCCAGTTCTAGTTCCCTCTTCTTAACAGTAGAGGAGTTGATACTCTTAACTTATGCAGGTTAACAAAATCTTATCTGGTTACATTTTGTGCTTCTAAACATCAAAAAAAAAAAAAAAGAAAAAAAAAACTCCTTAACTTATTTTTTCATAGAACATAGCAAATATGGGCAAGTGAAGTTGCTTGCAAGATTGTTACTTGTTTCTGTCCTAGCCTTGGGTCAAGCTGCAAACGAGATAGCACCTACTGAGCTACGTAGTCACTGCCAACTCTTGTTTGCAACTTGGTTTAAGAGAAAAATAGACACTTTCATTCTCTGTATTGGCTGTCCTTTCTTCTTGACATTCCCTTCTCAGTATGTTTAGCATTTGTCTCATTTATCTTTTATGAAAATAAATCAGGTTCCACTAATAAGGGCAACAACAGTTGCTCAATAACATCTATCATGCTCACTTTTCTCGAAGAGCTGTTGCCATCTTTTACATCACGGAGAAGAATGACAAATTATTTCCACACACACCCCCCCACCGCTCCCATTATGGTTACTTTCTAAAACTAAGGGGAATATATTATTACAGAAAATGTTGTACTTTATTGTCTATATTGCAAATGTAAATACATGAAATTTACATTTCAAATGCAAATTTGAGAACTGCAATTTCAATTTCATCCTTATTCCCATATTGTCAATAAATTAAAGAAATCCTTGTTGAGAATTAATAACTCTGTTTTTCTAATTTTTGCTCAGGGACAAATCAAGATCATCTTTGGTTCTCTAGGCCTCCTTAATCTGCAAAAATAACTTCTCCACTCCCTTTCATTGTGATTTCTGAAATTCAACCATGTATATGCCTATAGCAACATTTTTCCTTCCCTCTTGCACCTTTTTTATCTCTCTCTCCTCTCTTCTTCACTTTTTCCCCTACAACACATCTCCTCATCATATTGATTACTTTGCTTGTCATGTACATTTCCTCACATTTGTCTATCCTTTCTCTTCAAATAATAAACTCCTTAAGGCAAGGGGTGCCTCTTATTATGTGTCTGTACAGTATCTGCTAGAATGGAGCTTTGATCCTGGTTGGTTTGCTTAAGCACTATCATCATAAACATGCTTAACAAGAACAGCAGTCTCAAGAGAGCTTTTTTTTCATGATAAATCAGGCTCAAAACTAGGAGAAAAGAAGCTTTTGTAAGAAACATAAAAATCCATGTTGATTTAATTACAGTAAAATTGATTTTGCCTTTGAAGGGTTGAGGCAACGTAAGTAATTCCACTGAAAACAAAGGTCATTTCTATTTTTATAGCCATTCTCAGAATCAGAAATCAACAGAACCATCAAGTTAAAGGAGCATGGCATAAGACTTCTTGATGAAGCATCAACATTGCCAAGGCTAAATATGTGAATTTTACTCTCACACTAGAGATCACAGAATTTAATAAAGTAGATAAATTAAAAGATAAAAAAAAAAAACAGAAAAAAGATATTTCAAAGATTTTATAGGCCTGTTAGTTATGACATATTTTTGAAAGCTCTTTTGAATCTGTTCTGGTAAGAGCTTTACCAATATTTTCTACTAACTTGCAATGTACTAGTAAGAGATGAAAAGTTTCCTCTTGCAAATTTCCAAATCAGGCACGAGATGTGAAAAGCTATGACACACATTTAATATACACTGCATTGTACCATAGTTTCAAAATTTCACATAAACCGTGTTTCAATTTTTTTCCTGCAATTACTCTTTATTTGGCAAGAGTCACAACAGGTAATTCAGAACCAATTTCAAAGATCAAATGGTCTGCGTGACAAGGCTGAAAAAGCTCCAAAAGCGGACTCTTCTCTTTGGAGTTTGCATCGTTGCCTTTAACAATGCTATGGAAATTCATGTATAGAAAAGGTTGTAAATATTAGATTGTATTATAGAACATTATTGAGTTTTTATAGGCTTAGGATTTACATCAAAAAAAGGAAATTATCCTTCCTATTACCTATATCATATAGCCTTATTGTTCACATAAGGATATTTAAGTTTTATACTATTATCCAAAGAGCAAACAAATGTCAATCAACACCGTGCACTTTGTCATTGCTTCATCTGTGATTTGTAATCTTTACTATAGAAGAAAAAGTGAAAGTGCAACTATATATATTGCTAGAATGAATTTGTGATGGCTGTAAACAGAAAGCCCTGAACAATTTACTCAAGTCATCCTAAACTCATGGCAGCAATACATTTGTTTCCTATCTGTACCACCTGTGTATGCCGCCAAGCAATTTTAGGAGTGTTTGGAAGAAAAAAAAAAAAAAAAAACCCTAACATATATAAGAAATACTTTCATAACCAGCCTGCCTACAAAGCCACAAGTCTGCCTATAAATCCACAAGTTTAAGCATGAAAGCATGTATGCCTAAGCAAACGAAAAAAGTTAGAAATAATAATATGTACATCAGCTACCAGAATTATTAAAGCAACCTTTAAATACTAAAAAGTAATGATTTCTAAGCCTGTTACCTTGAAGTTTTTCAGGGTTGCTGGTAAAAGTTCTAGAATCATCCTGTTCCTATGACTTTCCCCTTACTAACTAGTCTTGTAGGAGTGGAAGAAATTAGGCTGCAAAACCAGGACAAAGCTGTAATTGGCTTTAGACCATGGTTTGAGACTCACTGCAGTTTAGGAGGAAAAGAAAGTAGTATTTATTGTTCCAGCTGCTGCTTATACAAAGTGACTGCCAGATACTGAAGGGTAGTTTTGGAAAGATGAAACAGATCCCTCAGCAGGAAAATGTTCTGAGACATTAACAAAAATAAAGCCATAAAGGCACCTAAAATAAGATCTTCAGGTATGTGAAAAAAAAAATGCTTTATACAATAAATCACTCTAGCCTATCACAAGGATAGCCATTACACTAGCAAATCTTCTAGTCTCCTTTACCATGCAGAAGTACAGATGACCATTAAATTATGCTCTTACCACATTAGAAGGTTCCAATTTCTTCCTCTTGGCAAGGTCAGTGATATTATTACCATTGTAGTTGATGCTCTCCATACAGCCTTTGAAATTTTTCCTACTGTTAGAACTCGGCTTCCCAGAAAAAGGCATACCTCCAAAGGTTATCTTTGAATGAAAATAGAAACTGTAAATAGTTACTGGAGGGCAAACTTGCTATAATTTTTAAACAAATTTGCTGTAGATGTATTTGCTTTCTTTGAACACTCAAACATAGCCTGCTGGCATAACTGCTTTCCAGAAAGAAAATATCAAATAAGCACAGCACAAATCAGAAAAAAAAAATTACCATGAACTAGCAACTGCAAACATTTATGCTAGTACAACCCAAGTGTTATTAAACTCATCCAAACAGATAGCAGACACACATCACAGAGCTGCTTGTATATGGATGGCTCTTACAATTGCTTCTGACCAATATGCATATCAAATAAAGAACCTGGAATAAATCGTGTTCATCCCACTACCTCTCTAAACAAGAAGAGACATAAAATTAGCAAGATTATCTGATCTGAATCATTCACTTGGCTTTGTCTCTGAGTGCAGAATTGAACACAGCAGCTGCAGGCTACAGTTAGACTTCCTTTAGTGCTTATTTATATAGAGAGATATATACTTCTATTTCTTCTACTACTGATAGAACACTTTTATCAAGAACTTGTAGTCAGTGTGGAGTTGCCACAAGACTTAGTAGGCCAAGTCAATTGCTTAGAAGACAATAGGTAAATCATTCCAGTTAAACAAGAATTTTGTTTTTATATACTAAATTTCATCACAGCACAGTACTGGGTTACCCGGAGTCATTGGTGCTTACAAAAATAACACAGATAAGCACCACAGAAGACAAAAATATTCATCTCCGAGAAGGTCCACCTTTGTCACTCTTTAGAATATATATGTCTCTATACAAATGTCTCATAGTGAATAAATCTTACGTGTCTTCATAAATATTCCACTGCTTGCATGTAAAGAATAATGGTCTCATGGGTTTAGTCTTCTCATTGTAGGGTAAGTGCTTATACCAAATAGACAGTATCACAAATAACATCCCTACTATCCTTCCCCAAGAGTGCCCACAAAGATTTCTACTTGTGGGCTGCTTCCAAGAAATGCCAGAGTAGAGTTTTTAAATATTATTCATTGTTAATTCCATTTGTTATTCCTGAGAGTAGGAAGAAGCAACTCAAAGGATTATTTTCTCATACAAAACGTGTGTAATGGACTACTTTCCATGCAAATGTGGGGACCCTTTGACTTACTGTTTAGGAGTAGCTACTGTTGTACAGCTGAAAATCAAGACTTGAAAAAATAGCAGGTAGAGGCTTAAAACAGCTTTAAAATAAGTGCTTTGCGGACTTATCCTCGGGTATCCCAAATTGACATTATTTGACTTTAGAAAAGCAACACCACTTTCCACCACCTGGAGAACGTGACTACAATGTGTTAAGTGCTACAAAGCATCCTTTGGCTTGTGCATTATTTCCTTTCATGTGCCTGGATAGGCTAAAATATAAAGGTAAAGATTGTGAATGGGAGAAAAACTACAAAAAATCATATATCATGTCAGTGAGTTCAAAGGAACTGGTTAAGATTTTTATTTTGTTTTTTCTCCTTGAAGGTGCAATCAGAACTAATATTTAGCTCTCCTTCGTGCTTCCTCATCTTTTCTGAAAGATTAACCAAGGAGCTTTTTTTTTAATAAAAAAGTTTAGATTTTCTGACATTTAACCACTATCATCAATTTATCATAAGGACCACACATTTCAATGTCTGTGATGTCCAACCTTCAAAAGTTCTTATTTGAGAGAAAAATAAAACACTTCCAAACTGTTCAGTTTATTTGAACGACAAAAACAGACACACACAGATTCAGAGAACTTCCACTAAGCATGAAGAGCTCTGTGTACATGGAAACTGAAACCTTTGAGAACTACCATTGATGTGCCCAACATCACAGAAGAGAGAGAAGGCGGATCCTCAATTGCACTCTCACTTCTAAGCAAATTTATTACACACAGATCATTCGCTTTGTAATATATTTCCCAACTCTTGGTCATGGCATTCAGCTTTTTTCTGTTGTCAGCTCACCTGAGAATCTTTCATAAGAAAAACACATTTATCTGAGTTTCAGGTTGCTCAGTTCATATCTTAAGTGCCCCATGAGTACTACCCATCCAGGCAAATCAGCTTATTATTATTACTACAAAAGAAGGCCTTAATAAATATTTATTGTAATGTAAATATATTCTCAATTCGGTGAAATGCACAATTTATATTTACAATTGTATTTCCATTTTCCCCAAACATTCATATTATATTCTAGATCAAAACGATGTCAAAAAAAAAAAAAAAAAAAAAGACCAATACAAAAGTTGAACCCAACTTCACTGCATCACATGATTTTGATTTCCCTCTTATTGTTTACTAAGCTGTAAGGATGAAAATACATATTTGGCTCAAGCAGCAACATTATTTTTCATTAGGTACAGTCAAGACTGGAAGAAAATCACTATACAAAGATGATCCTGGCCATTATGCTGAAGTTTGAGTTAATCCAACAACTTAAAACAACAGAGGTTCAGGTCTAGCAAAAAGTTCACAGCAGCAGAAACTAGACTGCAATTAAACAAATAATCCTGATTTGATTAATAACTTTTGTATATTAATCAACTGATGAAACAGAATGCTTTTATTTTGTTTTCTCAAATTCTTTACTGTTCCTTTAGAGAAGACAAGTAATTGACGGCTTATTTATGAAAGTGTAGGGATGTACTTCCTTACTCGAACAAAGCAAGCTTGAGATTCATATTTGCAGAAAGCTTCTAATCCACTTCCTTTGCTACAAATGAATATTAACTATCACTTCAGAACAAGGCTCTCCAACTCAAGTGCATAATGATCACCTGAATGGGATAACAGATGTTATCATTTGTTTTTATTTACTTATAGCTTACAGCAGCTGGCATAAAAGACACTAAAAGCAGCATGCACCTAACTCGCCAAATAATATAAATCTCCAGAGAGGTTGTGGAGTCTCCTTCTTCGGAGATTTTCGAAACCCACCTCGATGCGACTGTGTACCACATGCTCTATGTCTCTCTGCTTGAGCAGGGGTTTGAACTAGATGATCTCTAGAGGTCCCTTCCAATCTCAAACAGTCTCTGATTTTAAAGCAAAAGGTTGATATGAGGCTTACAGCAGAGACCAGCTCTGGTCAGATTTAAAAGCTAGTAGACTAATAGAGGAAAACCACGTTTACGACTAATAGAGAAACGTTTGGAATAAAAAGAAGAAAAAAAAGAAGAAGTCAATGGAAAAAAACCCAAAAACAAATGTATAAGATATACCAAAACATCTTAAATGGTAGAAGTATTTTTTTTCTTCTTAATTCTTTTTAGAAAGCCAGTTTGAATGCTTACCTCATAATCAAGGTCCAGGTAATCAAACTCTCCATTGGTTCTGAAATGCTGCATGTGCCTGTCCAAGGTGAGATTGATATTTCTGCCATGGCGCTCGATGATGATGGAGTGCCAGTGGTGATCGTCTAAGAGGCTGCCTGTCATCACAGATGTGTGGCCATAAATAGAGCCAAGCTGGTTGCTACCTGAAACGAGAACAGATACGAGAACAGCGAATTTAATCCTTGTTCATACTGGTTATGTAAACATTTTCCTCCTGCTCTGTCAATATGTCACCTGAATCACAACAGACACCCAGTACACTGGAGGACATCAGTCTACTATGAAGTTAACACCTGGCCAATGGAGGGTTGTTGCTATAAATATGAATAGCCGGATAAAATGAGCAAGAATCCACTCAGTGAACTGCATAAATGGTGATAACAGTTGTTATCTGGAGGCTAACTAGAGCAGCAATGTCTACTTTCAGATGTAAAGTTGTTTTCAACCAGAGATTTTCTTTGTTCGGATCGTTATGCTACAGAAGTGAGAAGTTGTCGCCTTTCCTGGAATAGCCTTTGTGTCCCATTCTCAGCTTCCCTGGAACCATACTGATTTACTACAGCTGAGGACTTGGTGCCTGACAATAGAATCTGATGACACAAAGCCTTTCCAGTCTGATAACAGCAAACACTTAAATGAGTTCTGCACTTGGGAGATTCTGCCAGTATAACTATAGCAGCTACTGTACAAGAAAGCATTTTGTGCAGCTTGAGCAAACAGCTGAAAAAAAAAAAGTATTCTGCTAACATAGCTTATTTTGGCCTTTCCTCCTATTTTGGAAGTGAAATAAACCATTAACAAGGCTACATTTTGCAATTCATTGCTATGTTTTAAAGAGGCTTTTGCCAATACAGCTACACTAGTAAGAGATCACATCTCACTGCCATGACTGACTGACATAGCTAAGTCAGTAGAAGCAGAGAGTATAGGTCTCAACTGAAGCAGCAAATGATTCATGCAATTTTCAACAAATGAAAAATAATTCAGCAGTAAGTCTACAGAACTGCTGCACTGCCCAACAACTTAGTGTATTCTTCCAAGTTTTGAATACATAAGCATCTAAGAGTATTTTTGGAGCTGAGAATTTCTTACTATTATGTCTGGAACTGAGACATTAAGACTGTGCAATACATAAACACATTCTGGGAAATCACACTGCCATGGCCTAAGACATTATACCCTTAATAACAACCACCTTTCTGCTGGAAGTCACTGAAAATAAAAAGAAGAAAAAAAAATCACACATGTACGTGTGCTTCAGTTTCCTCTATGCAAAGTCAAATCCATGAAAAGCAGAAGTTGAGTCCAACTCGTTAGAAGTTTGAAACTAGGCCATTGGTTTCCTACAACCTCTATGAAGTCCTTTCCCCTAAGTCTGCTGCAAAGACAATCTTCGAAGGAAGGATGACATCCTAGACCATCACCTCTATCTATTAAGCAAATGTGTGTAACAGTGTCTGCCCATCTAATGATTTCAACACTTCCTTAAGCATATATTTGGAAGTTACAATAAAAAGACAGACTATACTGAAGAATACAAAGAAATTGGAAATCAATCAATTCCAATGAAAACTGTTAAAAAATAGATTACTGCTATAGGAAGATTTTTTTTTTGTCATCATCTTCCCACATTGTTGATCTTTAGAAAAAGAGCAGAAGAAAATGCTTGTGGAAATAATTGCTATTCATGGTAAATAATACATGAATAGAATAATTTACTGTTCACTTGATTGCAAGAGAAGTAAAGAAGTTACATGAAGCTTTGTTCAAAAATAATTTTGTCTGAAAGAAAAGATGACTTGAAAAAAGATAAATATGCTTTTGTTTCATTTAAAAAAAAAATTGACTTACAAGCCTCTATTTTTCCAGTGGGATCTAGAATAGCATATCTGGGTTCATAACTTTCTTAAGGTTACCTGGTACGCAAATGAGTTATTTTCATTTGCTAGCCCTAGTTCTCACATCTACTGTATATACATATAAATACATGTATATTAAAAGGCAAGGATCCTCCTTCTACCTACCCTGCAGCCAAGATTCTCTCTAGGAAGGTCACTAAACTTCAACTTCATATGGTCTGCAGCTTCCCAACATGGTATCTTTCTTGTTGTAGCTTCCTGAGGATCATTTTGATTACTCTAACACTGCTGAAAGAGAGTTGTGCTCTCACAAAACCACTTTCTTTGTTTTTAATAAATAACACCATGACATGCAGAACTGAATAACCAATACCTGAAGTCAAATACAATTTTACCAGGGCTTTTTCATTTAAGGCAAGTTTCTAATGATAAAATACTCTGACCTTGCTTTTACACATGATTTTATTTTTGCGCTATTTCATGTGGAGTAAAAGGGAAGGAAAAAGAAAGGTAAGAAAATGGAATAGACATTTTCACAGAAAGATTCAATTACACGAACTTGCTTGCATACAACAGGAAAAAAAGTATATACTATTTGACTGCACATTCTTTTAAGAGTTAAAAAATTCAAAATAAACACAACATACCTAAATTTAAATTAAGAACAAGTTTGGCTTTTTTAAGTTCCAAGGTGATATAGTCTCCTTGCTGTCCTTCTCCGTGGAAGATTACACCTTCACTTTCAGAGGTTTTAAATTTCAGAGAGATGACATCTTTCAGTGTTTTCATTTTCTTGTTCCTGAATCTGTACGGTAACACTACATGGCCATCAAAATTGATAACATCAGCCCCTAAAGGAAAAAGCAAATAATATTGTTTTATTATATATTGCTGTGTCCACTGGAAAAGCAGGCCTGGCATATGTGGATTGCAACTGAACAGAACAAATATGCAAGCGGTGCATATACTGCAAATACATTCTGTCTTGACTGTAATTCAGTGAAACACTATAAAAAGTTGCAACCTGTTAGGGCATAAGTTTAACACATGTTAACAAAAACAGATTCTGAGGAACAAATATTACAACCTTCTTCAACTTCTTTAGATTCTCTTAAATATAGTTGCTTTCATGTATGCTTCCTTAATTATAGCTGAAAATGAGACACAAACTTCTGAGTCATCATTAATAATTCACTTGATACCTCTTAAAAATCCAATAGAGGTATCTTTGAGGACTGTAATCAGTAAAACATGAGCCCAATTAAAGTGCCTGGCAGTAAGAAGAGATTCCTTTAATTGCATATAAATCTTAGGCATAAACCTTGTCTAGTTCATGGTGCTGTACAGAAATCTGGGGCAAGATTTCACCTTTTGGAGGAGGGAAATAAATGTTCTGCTATCACACCTATTTTTTTTTCTAGATTTGCTTTTATTGAGAAACTGAGGAGAAAATTGGGGGACACAATCAAAATAATCATAAATCAACTCAGTATTCAGATATGTGTTGTACAATGATACTGCAAAACTTCATTGATCATCCTACATACTCCAAGGAAAAACTTCTCTAAGAATATTGAAGGCTAATTTGAGGATAATTTGATTTTATTGATTTCAAAGGCTGCAATACTGTCAGTATTGTCCCATCTTAAGCAGAGCTTGGTAAAAAATTATAAATAAGCACACATTTTAGAACTCTGTACAGATTTAAGAAATGTTCTTTGCAAACCCTTTATCCTATAGTCAATCACTAGTTTTTATTTTTAGGAGTATTGTCTTCTTGATATTTACAATTGACCTAATTTACATGGTCACCACACTATTCCTTATGATAGAATTAATAATATGTTCATTTAAAAAATATTTTTTCCTGTTTTGATGTATTTTGTTAGATAGACCTGTCTTTCCCACCAATATTTTTCAAAAGCGTCCACAGTTCTTATCAGTGCACCATAACTGTATCAGCCATTTCATGCCCTGAATGAAATTAAGGCTGACATTTTATCATATATTCTCAAGCAACATCTGATTTTTGCCTACTTCTCTGGGCTGCTATTCAGTGACTGCTGGCAACTTTTTCAAATTTCCAGCTTTTCTCTAACTTTATGTTGGAAAGTAATTAAAATCTTTCAGATCCACTCAAAAACAAAATTCTCTTGTGCAACAAATATAGGAGAAAATGTAATAAATATTAAAATATTTTGAACATTTGGCATTTTGTATGTATTTCATTTTGAATTTACCTGTTTACCTAGGTTAATACGTGATTATCTTAATATATGTCACCTTTGTTCCTGTAACATATATATTATTAATATATATTAATAATATATAATATATATTTATATATATTGATATATTAGTAGAACATATATATATATACACCTATTATATACCTAAGAACCTATTAATATATATTCCACAGGTTAAGAGTTTAGTTTACTTTGTAGTAACTGAGCTTCCAATTTCTCAGATTGATATAGAGGGAACATAAACATGGAAAGTGATAGCTATATGTGCACTTAATTTATACTAAGAACAAAAAAAATGAATTTCAGCAGAGCATAGATAATCAGTTTGCGATTTCCCTTCCCAATATTGTTGTCATTTTTAAGCCTGAGAGCTTTAAAGATAAACTTTTTTTTTTTTTTTTTTTTTTGGCAAACTAGCCTCAAGTGCATTTATTTCATAGTCTATGAGTCTCTGATCAGCCTAGGGATCAAGCTTTATCATTCTCCCTCTCCACTGCCTTAAAGTGAATTGATATTAATGGATGGGGTTTAATTCCTGTCAACAAAACTGTGTTGGTCTTGGAAATTATATGCAATTATCCTGCTCACCTTTCCAGGTTAAATTAAGAGCCTATATGTATGTGTATATATATATATATATATATATATATATATATTCACACACACACACACACATAAACATATATTTATATAATTTCCGTAGATTCTAGAATAGCAGATTCTGTACTACAAGTTTCCTTATGCCTCTGTAAAGCATTTTCCTCAATCTGTCACCTTTTCAAGTAACATATTATCTAAGAGTTGTCAAGAGACCTGCAATGCATTTCCGTTTCCCACTAGTTTTTGCACGCTCAGACTGAGAGCAGCTGACCATCAGTAGAGCGGTAACTGTCCATGTCCAAAGAGATTTTTTTACATATACACATAGAGACACTTCTCCATGGATGATCATAGGTTATTTTGGAAAAGGTTACAGGTTATTTGGAAAAGAGGCCAAAGGGTAGAATTTCAAGCTTCTGAATTTTTAGTTGCAAATACTTCTTCAAGTTATGGGAAGACAAAATGCTGTCTCCTATGGCACTCTCTCTACGAAAGCTTCCTTTGTTTGCATCAACTAACTGAAGGCACCAGTTGTGGAAGTAGAGAGAGATAATTTGCACAATAATTATGCAAGCGAGAAACATTAGCCTGCTTATCTCTGCTTCTGAGACAGCAACCTAGCACCCTCAGACCACAGGGTCTAACAGATCCTGGCGGTTAGAAGTTTAACTCTGAAACGAAAAAGGTTACAATCATGTAACTTGAACCTTACCCCTGAACTTCCCTAACTCTACAAAGGCTTTTGATAAAATAAAATTTGACCCCTTTAATGTTTGTGCAAACAGAATGGTTAAGATATCTTAGCAAACATGTGCATTATAGTTTCATTGCAATAACTCATGGATGGAATAGGATATACTGAAGTACATCTTACATATGTATACCACAATTTAGCAAAATTACTAGAATGCCTTCTTGTTATAGACTTTGCAATATACACTCCAATAATAAATTTTTCTAAGCTCTAAGTGCCACTGACAACACAGCCTGATCTGTTCTTCTGAATGATAAATTCCAGGAATGTCAAACAGATCAAAAATATCAAAACGGGACATTCTGTGTGCCATGCAAGGAATCCCTTAATATTTGATCAGACTTCAAGAAGGACTTGTTTGCTCATACACAGATGAAGATGCAGCTCTCAGCAATGAGGGCCCCATGGACTATATTCAGCTTGTGGTTCACTTCAAAGAAACAGTTCAGAGCAGAAGATATTTTGCATATTCTTGCTATTCAAATAGGTAGATTACATATCAAGTTTGTTTTGAAAAAACAAAAGAAATGGTCACAAAAAAAAATTATACCCCATTTATTTTTGCTTTCTGTTTAAATGCCTGTGGGAGGAGATTCGAGGAATGTTTTCCTGAGAATTTCATATTCAGTTTGAAATTCATAAAGGAAGCAGCATGGAATCTACCTATATAAAAATATCTACATGGAAGTCATTTTTGAACACCCCATAGTTGCATAATTCATACTGCTATGCACAGCAAATTTGACTATATTCTGCTGAAATCTACCCACAGCCTTGGAGAGCTGCTACAACTGAAATAAAATTATGGATATTACAAGTTAAGTAACAATCAAAAGGGATACATATAATAAAGAATATGGTTCTGTATACAATGCCACAGATTCTAAAGTTGCCTGTGAAAAGGCAAGTGTCCCTATATAGTTCAGGTAGCTATGTATACATGTTCTTGACATTATTCATATATATATATATATATTTATATATAAAAGAACTTGGACTCAGGCTTCAAAGCTCCTCTAAATCCCCTGATTTCTGGCAAGACCAGTAGTGCCAACATGCTTGTTCCCAGAGACCCAACAGCAGGTCTGCACTCACCACACAGCTGCATCGCTATTTTGATCAAGGGACTGCCTAGAATTATCAAACGCCCTGTCACCAGACACAGGGCAGCAAACATTAATCAAAATAAAGCAGAAAAACAAAGGAAAGTATTGTGCAGAGAGGTGCTTGGCATGAATCTAACAAAATCAGCATTATTCAGTACATTTTTAACATACGCACAAGGTTTTAAATGGCTAATGATCTTTGAATGATCATCTCCATGCAGCTTGTACTGAATACTGGGATTCAAGAAATAAATGATTCTCAATTACAGATCCACTGTGACCTAAAATGAATTTATCCTCTTCTTGCACATCCATTATCTCTTAATCTTTTACTTTTCTGTTTAGAATGACAGAGTTTTAGGAGAAAGAGCATCATTTGTAACATTCTTTTCACAATGGTTTACCCCATAATGTGAAGTTTATGCTTCTGAGTGCTGTGTGTCTGTACTAATACTACAGTAAGACATAGTATTAGCCATACTGCGATAATCTATCCTCCAAAAAGAAGGCATCAAAGCATCTCTGGCTGGGCTACAGTATTGCACCTCGGTAGTTTTATTTATTGTTTCTGTTGGCCCAGGGATAGTGGCCAATATAAACACATAAATAGTGTATTATTTACATATTTGAACAACAAAAATCTAACAAAACCAGGAATACAACTCAAAATCATAGACAAAAAAAAACCCCTCATATTTTGGTATAATTACTTACAATAAATTACATATATAGAAATTACTTCGTTAAGACCCTCTATTTTTTCCAGTCGCTCCAAACACTTGTCAGTACCACCTGATGTCCAATTTGCTACTAGAGTCTTTGCAGTTTGAACCTCAGTGGCACTGAGTGGATCTCATGTTTAATTAGAGATACATCACTGTAGCTTTCCTGCACCTGGAAAAATGAGGAAGTCCTATCAGATCTCAGTCACCAAAAGAGTCCATTTTTTATGAGATCCTGAGGGAAACATGTTTGAACACGGCCTTCAGGCACTAGAGTCCAGCCATAAGGATAAGGGCAACACGGCAGATTGGAAGCCTGCTGTGGCAAAACCAACACTATTGCTACGCTTTCTCAAAGCAATGTATACACTACATCAAGGAAAAAAAAAATGAACCTGTACTACAGATACAGATGCATCC